TAAATGTGTTTAGGCATCCATTCTTATATTAATGTTTTCATATATTCTGAGACAATGGGTTAACGACCCCCCCGCACACACACATGCACATATTCACATCTGATACACTGATGAATGACGCTGACTTTGATTCATTTGTTTATTTATTTTTCATTTGCACTTCTTAGTTTGAACAGCGGTAGATGGATGCAGACAAATCACTGATGGTTAACGAACAAGGGAACCTTACAATACAGAAAATTTCTTAAAATCGTTGGACACCAACCCTGTTTACACTCTTTAGTAATTTATTTGTTGCTAAATTACTTGTGTGTGCTCGCACGAGATGAACACAAGTGTGGTTTGGCCAAAGGTTCTTTGTGGACTCAATCAATGGATTAGTTTAAAAGCTGATGTCAATCTAGTGAAAAACAACAGCAGCTTCTGGATTCGGGCAGTGAAGCATTTTCAGATCAACAACTTTATTTGATCTGAAAATATTTGCTGAAAAATGAAGAATTCAATAAATTAGACATAATACTTTGAAAGGTACTCTGACTTCACTTTCAAAAGATTTGGGATAAAAACTGATGTTTTGGCACAATTTCGCTCCAATTACCTTTTTTTTTTCAAAGCTTATAAAGTGCAGACATGCATTTACACTCAAAGCTTTAATTTGTCAATTTAGGGAATAAGGAATGCATGACACTAGCAAAATCTACAGTATCATTTGGCATCGCAATTCTCCCAACTATCTTACCAGGACTGATACACACTTAGCACTACAGACATGCAAAGATTTCCCAACAGATGTTTGATGAGCTGAGCCCAGTCCTCCACCAAAGAAATAAAATGAGCAAGCAGATACAGCACACCTCACAATGTGTTGTGAGGCAGGTATTCTAGTTTTCAGCTCATGGATGCCTCATTAGTTCCTGAGCCGTTTATAAAACACAGCTGCAACACCAAAGGCAATGAGGCAAGCAACAGTCAGAACGCCAACAGTCACACCAAGCCCCACAGCAGATGTATCTTCTTCTTCTGCAACAACGGGCTTCTCTTTGGACTCGCCAGACTCGGCTTTGGTGATGATCTCTCCAGAGGTGATGGTGTAAGTTTGGTCCATACTCTCTGCGGTTGCATCCACAGTGTTCCTTTTCCTCCTCTTGAGGTTGCATTGCTTGAATGCGTTGCAGGTGCTCTTCTCACACAGTCGGGTGACGCAGTGAAGGTGGTAGGTGGACACGGTCTGCTCCTGCTGCTCGATGAAGCGGAAGGCTGGGAAGTAGAAGCGGGAGCTCTGGCTGTCGCCGTTCTCAATAATGGTGGTGAACTGGTCCTTGGAGCAAGGGACAAGCAGGTTGAAGTAGCTAGAGTTAGAAGGCAGTGGTGAGATGGTGGCGTAGCACCGGTCAAGCAAGACATGGTACTGGCCTGTCAAGTTAGTTGCCTTGACCTCAACATACACCTTGGTCCTCAATTCGATCCCCAGCTGTGGAATGACCATGGGTATGTTGTAGTCGGAATCACGGAACAGCCTCATACTCAGGGTGCTGATGAAACTTCCATTGTTGTCCTTGATAGCAATGGAGGAAGATGACACATCAACCTGGGTGTTGTTGATCAGATATTCTAAGGGGTAGGCGCAGGAGTAGTAGTACTTCAGCTCAGCGTTGTAGGTGACTGTGCCAGTTGTAAGATCAACGGACCGAACTATGCCGCTGATGTTGACTGTCTGGATGTTGGAGAAGTCGGAGAATATACCTGTTCCAGCTGCACTGGTGGTCCGGAACACACTTCCACAGGCGTGGGTCATGTTTAAGGGGAAGTTGAAGCGGGCAACAGGTGGACTCACAGATTCATCGAGGGTTGCTCTACAGGTTGTGTCCAACATGGAGTTCAGGATCAGTAGAGTTTCGTTGTAGCCAGTGTAGATGACTGGGCAGATTTGGATCGCCAGACTAATGAATGAAGTACCACACTGCACTGAAATGTCATCAGCCCGTGGCCTTCTTGATTCTGCTCCACACTCATTCAGCGTTAGCTGACTACTTTTGACTATCAAGGTGAATAAAAGTAAAAGACTCTTCATTGTGTTTCCTCAGCTTTGCCTTGGATTGTTTAATCTCTCCTCTCAATTCTTGATTCTGCTGCCTGAAGGTTAGTAGATCTTCTCAGTTTGTTTGAAGTAGTAGGGCTGCGTTCAGGGTCTTTATAGTTAAGTGTGTCTTCTGGGATTGGTCCAAAACAAGGTCAAGTACCTTCCTATTTGTGAACATCTACATTGTATGAAGTGGGAGAGCTCCACTATGGACAATATCCTAAGGGCAAGATCTGAAACCTGAAGCATCTAGCTGTCTTGAAGTGCAGATAGAATGGCCTTTTTCCTTTGTTAGCCAAAATCTAGATCTTCATGCCCCCTATTACTAAACCATGAAGTAAGTGAACATAACAATATATGAGATGGGGTTCTGAGAAATTCACACAATGCATTGAAGGTTCTTCTTTCCAGTTTGAGCCCCAGCAGCTTCAGTAATGACCTAGTTTGGATCGGAGGCAGTGACCCACAGGATCATTTGGCCACTGTGCTCTTTCTTGATCCTGACATGTCTTTGACATTATTAATTGTAATTATAAACAACATATAGAAGAAGGATGATTTTGTGACTAAAGAAAACATCTTCAGCGTGAAATCTGACTCAAGGATCAGACTAAAGGAGATCGCAATGATGGGGTTTTTAGGCAAAATTAATTTATGCTCAACACTGGAAACAAACAATATAACTTATTCAGGTTATACTTCAAGAAAAGGATCTGATAAAAGCAATTCAGTCTTTGAATGGACATGTTTCTGTTACAGTATTAAGGTGCTTCTTAATTATTTTACACTTAAAAATAGAACAATTCTGGTGAAATATCGTGAAAAGTTAAAAACAACAACATTCTGTCATTGTATGTATGTGTAGGATATCATGTTTGTGTCACATATGGGGGATGCATCTGAGTATTATGTGTTTTGAACAGTAAATACTGGTCAGCTATTGTTGCTAGCTTATTTTCAGAGGATGCTGATGAAAGGACAAGCTAATCCTGCGGTGTATTATAAAGGTAACTGAATCTAAGCAGTGTCAGTGGAGTATTTCTGAGTGAATCATGACATAAAGCAGGCCGGGCTGTGAACTACTAAAGTATCTCTATCAGTCTAATAAACCAAACTTATAGAAACAAACCAGAATAGATCTAAATATAGACATATATAATTAAAGCTAATACCTTAGCTCCACACCTCATTAACACCTAAAAGGAAAGAGAGGTCACTCACATTGGAATAAAATTAAATTAAAAAAATGTATCAAGTTTTAATTGTTCGTGTTGACGTTAACAAGTTATGCCATGTTGGTTTCACAACGTAATCAAATCAGGTCTTTTGTTATTGTTTTGATTGAGGGACCCCTAGTGGTCTACTTACATTTTGTATGTTAAATTACCAGTTGACATAATGTGTTTTAAAATTGTAAGCAATTAACTTTTTTCTTATAGTAAACCAAATGCCTTCTGTTGTTGAAACTTGTGTATGTGCGTGTGTATAACTTATGAAACATGTGGTCATACTGAACACAAAGAGAACTATACATTTCACTCATCAGTTGTTCATGTGTCTGTAAGGAAATTCCTCAATATGACCCAGTTTTTAATGTTCCTTTTATAACAGGACACCGTCTGTCTTTATGCAAGTCCAGCAGAAGACACTGACGGGACCTACACACTTACATAAGTAGCACAGATACTGTATGTGTGTGAGAGTTTCTACCATCTGTGGTGAAATGTCTTGTGCAAAGGTTTATTTGGAAAATAAATAATGCGTGTGCTTGTACTTTTAGGACATTTTGCTCATAAATATTGGAAAATGTAAAAATGAACTGTAAGTCGTTCCCCTTGATGTCTTTTATTATGACACTTCTTGTCTGTAGTGATGACATCAGACAGGAAGTGTGAGGAAAGACGACAAACGCACCATGTCAAAGTCCTGCTGTGAATTTATTGGGGCATGGAGATGGTGTTTGAGGGATGATGGGGGTCACAGTGGTGGCGAGGGAGGGTCTGAGTCCACGGCAGGCTGTTAAAGCGCTCCAGCCTGGTGATTAATGCTCCGAGGTTCCGAATCAGCCGGAGGGTCTGTGGCATTGAGAAGTCGCAGAGGCGGAAACGCTACGAAGGGAGAAAAACGAGGTGGGAATTCTGCGAGGAGGAGAAATATAACTCTCTGTCGCTCTTTTACTGCACAGGTCATGACCAAACGACCCTCTGTTATGATTGGGCCTTATGGGTTATTTTGTCTAGCGGCAAGCAGTGGTGAGGTGACGATAGCTTCTGAGACGGAGGAAGTGATGTGATGTTCTATCAGCAAGACTTTACGGGGAGCACAAGCTGAGCTTTAATCTGAGCTTCTGCTGTTTTGAATAGTTTGAGCTGTTATAGTCTGAAACTATCACAGCCATTTTATATACATTTATATACCTCCCATCATGCATTTGTCCCACAACTGTCTCATATTGATATAGCTGATTATATATTTTTGACCTTAAAAAGAGAGTTTGTTTAAAATTCAGTTCTAGTCTTTAAATCTCAGCTGTTTCCAAAACATGCAACAGCAGCGTCATATGTGCAGCTGATTGAGTTGTTCATCATTGTGCTAAATGCAATGAGTGACTGTTGCTCTGTTTATAAATGGCACTGCATCAGTTTCAGGCCGTCCTGCTGTGATGTAGTAAAACCAAGTTTGATTGTCAGCAGGATTACACAAAAACCTCCGAACAGATTTTCACAGAACTTAGAGGAAGGGTGGGGCAGGTGTCAAGATAGAACAAAAGTTTGCGTATTGTGGGCCCTATATGGCCCCTGATTTAGAAACATCCTAGGTCAAATTGTGAGAATGTGTATTGAGCCCGAGACAAGCGTCAAGTCTTCATTGCTGCAGCTTTAGTTTGACAAGGAGTCTCCTGCTCTGGTGATATGTGGGAATTTACCTTACAGTAAAAGAAATGCAACTAAAAACAATCCAACAATTTGAATTGAAGTTAAAATTCCATGTTGCACAGCACAAACACACATGCAACACATGAAGCCATCTTACACACATATGTACATGTACTGTATACTCACTCCACACCTCTTCTCACCATGTATAGCCCTGCGCTAATTGAAACCTCGTCTGTTTCACTATTCTTTTTTTGCCTTCGGCCATTTCCTTCGGTGGGCTGCCGCGCTGCCATCACAGCCACTGACCTGGTTCACACCAGATAATGTAGCAGCCTGTAAAGCGAGATGCTTTGGAAGTCAACCCAACACCCAATTGTTGCGCTAAGGAAATGAAATGTCACTTATGGAATGTGTTCATGCACAAAGATACAACTTCTTACTAGTTTAACAGCACGACACGCTGTACTAATACAGATATGTGGAATAGCGGAATGAAAAGAATGAAGTGGTCATGTGATCACTGTTGTTTATTGGTGCAGCGTTGGTTGATCGGCTCAGCGAGGACTTCCCTGATGAGGAAGAGTTAGTATGACCTCAAGTTTAAGTTGTTCTGCAGTAACACACCTCAAAGCTGCCATTTTGTTGAAAGGTCAGTAATTGAGAGCACTGAAAATTGAGCCTTTTTTTTCTCTATACATTGAGCATAAATGGAACAAGGTCAAGACAGCTGTGACAATATAGTCAACCTTCCTTAGTGGTAATCTGAGGTTTCATTGAGGCCTCTGCTGAAACCAGAGTCTTCTCAGTGTCAGTGTAACAGTGCTGAGCAGCATTACTGCAAGAAGAAGGGAGAAAGTTTTAAATCCATGAAGGACAAGATGATAATTGTGGGATATCTCGAGCACCATCATCAGTTATTAGTGTCCATCCATTTCCAGCAAGGTCTCCTGTTGATGTTGGAGGCATCTAAACTTACAGGATCTGCACACATGCTCTTTTTTTTTGTCTTTGAGAATTTACTTTAATAGAGATTTATTAACTTCATGCTAGTGTATGGGACATAGATCACATTAAAAAGTCCACATCGTATTGATCATTTTAGGTCGTATCACAATGACGTATGTTCAAGTTTGGTTAGAATAATTATTTGATGGTATAAAAACGTGTTGATTGACAGGTGAGGATGAAGATTGCTGGAATTTATGTATCGTGGGATCGGTGACTCAATCCTCTGATCGCTGCTGGACAGACTGCCGGGATATTTCTGCTTTACTTCTGGATGGTGAGAGGAAGTGGAGACATGTCGTCCATCTTTTTTGCACTTTATTTTGTATTATTTATTATTTTGCCACAAATCCTTAGCGATTATTTGAAAACACTTTTGTTTCAGGTCGTACTTTATACAACACTTGTCTCTGGCATCATCATGTGCGACGTATGTCATTCTGAACATGGATACCCCTACACATACATGACATACAAGCTTAGTTAAAGTATGTGTGTACGACTCACACTTTCTCCCACACACAACACGGACACATTTTTCTGTTAAAGTCGTGCATCAGTGTAGCGCTGATTTACGACACAGTGGATGTTTCTTAGTGAAGCCTGTTGCTGCCTTTCCCTTTCATGTCTTACGTACAAACACACACACACACACACACACGCTTGCATGTGTGTACACACTATGTGACTGTTGCCCTTTCATGTGTGGAAAAACGGCAACTGCAGGGACCAGCTGTTAAGAACTGAAGATATGTCCTGCTTCCCGGGAGCAGTTGCTTCACTGACGCTAGGTCCAACACACACACACACACACACACACACACACACACACACACACACACACACACGTACGTGCACACAGATGTATACTGTGAAAGCTATTTACGTTGGAGAGGCTCCTGTTGGTTGGGAAGCTTGATTTCTTGAAAAGAAAAATATCTGAAAACACAAAAGAAATAGAAAATACCTTAAGTCACATTATTACACATTCTGTACATCCTCTCTTCTCCTCTCCATTGCTCTTTTTTCCATTTTCCTCTTTTCCACTGACTTCCTTTACTTCTCTCTCTTTTCTTCTTTAATTTGATTGCCATACTTTTCTCTCTT